AAGGCGCGGCCGCGCTGCGCTCGGCTCCTACCTGTTGCTGGGCCGGGACGCCTCGAGAGCGACTTTACGGGATGGTTAAGCCAGCGCTGAAATCGGGACACTTTCCTATCCGCCCTTTCTCCAAAGCAGAGAAAGAATAAACAAAAAGACAGTGTGGAACTTTCGGGGACTGTTGAGTTCTGATGCCCCGAAAGAATGAAATCGTATTTCTGTTAATGGATGGGCGGCTCTTGCCCGCCGGAATGTAGGAAAATAGGATTTTGAAACTTGCGGAGCGAGGAATGTGGGTGCCTGCGACCGGAATGAGGCTGACTTCCCGTAGAAAGGGTGTTAGTGTGTGTGAAAATCTGTGGCGTTTAGACGAAGTGGATTCTGGTGGCTATTTGTGTCTTTACAAGCGAGGAAATATTCAGTGTACTGGAAAGTTCTACGGATTTCGCCACCCAACTATCAGTGACCCAGCCCCCATCCCTGTTTATAAAACATCAGCAATTCTGGTAGGGTTATTTGTAATTTTTTTTCCCATCTTCAGATAATTGTTCCAGAGGTATAGATAGGCATAATTTGCGCAGGGGAATTTTTCTTAGCCCCATTATCACTCGTAATAGAAAAAATGTTTAGTTTTGGGGGAGAAAGTTGATATTTCAAGTATTTTTTCTATATAATAATAACGAACTTTGATTTAGTTTTTAATAGGTCAGGATGTTACTGTTTTGATGTAAAATACGAATTTTTGGAGGCGATTGTTGTATATGACCTAGTAGTATGAATAATTGGGAAAGATTTGTATTGTGAATTAAAAGTTTTTGTTGGTTTTGTTTCTATTACAGGTAAGACCTACAGTTTTCTGTTGATGTGGAGGTAGGTATCAGGCTTTTTAATACTGTGATTTGAGGGCAATAGCAGGGTTGCCTTTCGGTGGATGGGTGGATACATGATTTTTGGTCCTTAGAAATAAGGATACCTTATTTTCCACTCCCTTGGAAATTATTTAAAGCAAACAAAAACTGACTAATCATCTTTAATATACTTATTTCAGTTAGCTTAATCTGTCACAAAGTCAAATTAATGTTTTGAATTTTGCTAAGAATTATAAAAAATGGTGTATTTACCCAAAACATTTCTCTATATGTTAAACAAATACAACTTACTGACTTTGGAAGGTAAAATACTTTTGTAGCATAAAAATACGCTACATTTAATGTTCAGGGTTTCTAAGCTAGGAGAGTTGAGATAATGTTTCTTATGAAGTCATGCTACTTTTTTTTTTTTTTTTTTTTTTTTTTTTTTGTGTGTCTTCTCAGACTTAGGATACCTCCAACTTTCCAGAGTTTCCAGAAGGGAATTTTGGATTGAAACTGGAAGAGCAAAATAACCACAGCTATGTTGTGCTGGGGAAATGCATCCTTTGGACAATTAGGTTTGGGTGGAATTGATGAAGAAATTGTGCTAGAGCCCAGAAAAAGTGACTTTTTTGTAAATAAAAAGGTGCGTGATGTGGGATGTGGGCTCAGACACACTGTGTTTGTTCTGGATGATGGAACTGTGTACACCTGTGGCTGTAACGATCTGGGGCAGCTGGGTCATGAGAAGTCCAGAAAGAAACCAGGTAAGTGGAGAACTTTTTATTTGTTCTTTCTAATAATTATATCATTTTAAATTTGAAGTGTGACATAATCTCTATAATTTTAAACCTACATTCTTTGTCAAACTTAAAAACAAAGGAAAGGTTAAATACACTCTTGACACTTGCATGCGTAGTACTTTCTTTTTCTTACTGCTCTGGGAAGCCTGATGTGGTGGCATTGTAAAATGATGGAGAAAACCAGCCTGTGGAATATATGTCATCATTAATGTAGAGTGTAGTGTACAGTTACAGAGATCATCCTTAATAATTTCTCCAGGTTGGTTAGATTTTAGATTGCCAATTTATTGTCATGTTTCCATACGTGGGAGCAGAAGAGAACTAAGGTGAAAACTTTGTGCTTTTGTTTACTTGCCTATAATATGTCTTATTATTATTATTATTTTTAAATCCCCATCATACTTTTTTTTTCCTGGTGGAAACAGGGATTGAACTCAGACCCTTGCGCTTGCCAGGGAAGCACTTACTCTACTGAGCCGTCTCCCTGCCCCCCCCCCCACTTGCATTTGGTTTCGTTGTACTTTTTAAAAATTTCTCTGATCTTTTAAATATAGTGCCAGCTACTAAAGGTTGTATAAATTAGTGTCCTGATTTTGAAGTAGGTGCAAAAGCAGAATTTAATTTCTAGGGTAATAATTCTGAAGAATTTGGTTACATTTCATATACTGTTTTCCTGGATGTTTGTACATCGTATATTGTAACATTTAGGAATATTATTGGTACATGTTTTGTTTTCAGTTGCAAGTACTAAAAGTTTCTGTCTTCAAGTGAGATTAAATTTGGGTGAGATTGTGGTTTATTGATTTAGTTTCTTTTAACTTTAGCAAGAATGATAATCTTTGTCTTTTGTTTTCATTTGCTTTTTTGAGACAGGGTCTCACTGTGTAGTTCAGGCTGGTCTAGAATTTGCTCTGCAGCCCAAGCTGGCCTCTAACTGAGCTTGCAGATGTGTGCTACCATGCCCAGCTAAGAATGACACTTTTAAAAGTTTTTTCTGTGGCAGTTACTTTCATTTATCATTTCATCATTTAAGTGGTTTTTATTGTTAGTGTACTTTTGAGAGATTAATGAAGATATAAAATACTCAGGCATTAAATTAAGTGGTTTCATCTTTCATATCATGTCACTACTGTCCCAAGTGTCACTTTTCTAAAGTAGAGTTTAATTCTTTTCTTTGTGGTTAGGTTTTTTTCCCCCCGGTAATTTTATTGAGAAACAAATAGCAATAAGACAGTTTCAAATCTGATTAGTAGGACAGTTTCAATAATTAACACATTGCAGGGGCTGGTGAGATGGCTCAGTGGTCTAAAGCACCTACTTAGAAGAAGCTTAGCAAAGCACAGGGACCGCGGTTCAATCCCCCAGCACCACATGCCAGCCAGCCCTGCCCCCTGGTGGGCTGAGCAGGCCACACACACACACACACACACACACACACACTCACACACAAATAAATAATTAACACATTGCATATTGTTGTGTTGGTGGTTATTCATTGTACAAGATGCAGGCATGATATCCTGTTTACAAATGCTATTAGAACAAATCTTTCTATTCATTGAATTAAGAGAATGTAGTTGTATATCTATATATCCTATTTTGAATATAAAGATACAAAATGGTCCTTCATTTGGAGAGATTTTTTTTTTTTTTTTTTTTTTGTCTTTATGGAACCGGGGATTGAACTCAGGCCCCTGCACTTGCCAGGCAAGCGCTTATTTCACTGAGTCATATCCCTGGCCTGGTCCTTCATTTGAATCCCTTTTTTTTTGTTTAGTTTTGTCAGAGATAGGTATTCCATTGTCATTTAAATATTATAGGTGCGTGAATTCAGCAAAATATTCTAATATATGGACTATGTGTTTCATAGTAGTGAGTTTTCTGCAAGATTGGCAATGTCAGAAGTTGTTGACTTGAGCCTTTTACACCTCAGCATATTAATATGGCTTTACTTTTTATACTTCGTTTTTACACTTTTCTGCTGGATGGTTAAGACCAAGAGAAAGCAAGACCTGTATTACAATGTGGTTAGTTTCTTAATCCCTTCTGCCTTAACTTGTAATTTAGTTTTTTAATAGACAGATAATAGCGATGCTTAATACAGTAAATTTAATTATGGTAGAACTCAAAGTAAATGGTAGTTTTTGTATATTATACATCAGTGAGCATATTTTATAAAACTTCACAAGATTTTCTTAATCTTAGGCTTTAAGGTGATTATGCTGATTTAAATGGTAATTTAGTGATAATGTGTTTCATTATTTTTGCTTTAGTAGCAAAGGGTCATGTACCTTTTTTACTTCATTTGAAATTTCATAGTGCTGGGGCTTCTCTTCCTAATGCATAGCATGCATATTATGTAGCAATAACTGAATATCTAGATCGCTTTAAATTCTGAAAGAATGTAGGGCAAATAGAAAATTCAAAGCTAGCACAGAAATTGCCTATATAGTTGTTATGATCTGTTAAGGTTTACAAATTTTATGTGTTAGTCCACACTTGTTCTGTGTTTTATGAGGGTAGACACTGTGCACTCATAGTATAATGAATGTTTCCCTGCAAACAGCGTCTGACTCCACAGTGAGCTCCTGAGAAATGTAGCTAGCCACTCTGAATCTTCTTGATGCCGTGATAATTACATTGTGACATCTGTATCATTCTGTGAATTCATGCTGGAAGCATTTGATAATACAGAGCTGGGAGGGCCGATTTCTTTATGATAGTTTCAGGATTGCCTCACTGTTGTCCAGGGTCTCTAATGTGATATACATATAAAACATTTTTCTGTGGAGTAGAAAGAAAAACAAAAAAGTGAGCGTTGTCTGAGAAATTTAGCGCCTGAATTGGGTGTGCAGGCACATGTAATGAAACTGGAGAGACCTGAAATTTGACATGATGTGCTGTGTACTTTGACCCCAGGGAATTTAAATGAGAAGTGACATTGTGGGATAGTTAGGATTCTGGGAGGAAACAGAGGTTTAAGTTTGGTTTTTGGCAGTAATCATGTAAAAGCCAGAAGATAGATTTAGAACTAACCTTATTTTATAGAGGAGTAGGAACAAGATCCTTGGGAAAGCATTTTATAATAATTCCTGACTCAGTGATAATTGAAGTTGTATTATGTTAAAGAGGTAGTGAAAAAAAAAAAAAAAAAGGTCAGGGCGCTGTTATTGCTGTGGTAGGGACTTCATCTTTTATTCTCAGTCTTGATTTAACTTGAGTGATGTATTTCAATAGTTTTGTAACTAAAACTTTCTATTTGGAATAATTCTTTAATGTTTTATTATTATTATTATTTTTTGCGGTACTAGGGATTGAACTCAGGATATTTCACTTGTGAGGCAGGCGCTTATTCTATTGAGCTATCTCTTTGGCCCTTCTTTAATGTTTTAAATGTGCTCCTTTCCTAAGACTTTTAAATTTGAGTTTGAGGGCTGGATTAGAAGACAGGAAGTTGGAGCTTGTTGCAATTGTGTTTTTTCTTTAGTGGTGGTACTGGAGATTGAACTGAGGCCCTCATACATGCTAGGCAAATGCTCTACTGTTGAGTTAGATCCTTGCCTCCCTCACTTTCCTTTTTAAAAATATAGTTTGAGACAAGGTCTCATTAAGTTGCCTGGACTAGTCTTGAACTTGGGACTCTCCTGCCTCAGCTTCCCAAGTGGCTGGGTTTACAGGTATGTGTCAACAAGCCCAACTATTTAATTGGTTTTAAAGTCTCTGGTAGTAGAATTGGCCCATTTTATTTCTGTCCTCCCCTTCCCTCCCCTCTCTTCTTTTGAGGAAAGGTCTCACTGTGCAGTTCAGGCTGGCCTTGAAACCAGTATGTTGCCCAGGTGGGCATCTAACTCACAATGATGCTCCTGCCTCAGCTTCCTGAGCGCTAGGATTACAGGTGTGCTCCACCATGCCTAGCCCCCAGTTTTATTTCTAGGACCAAATAATAAAAGGTTCAGAATTTTCAGCTTGTGTCAGAAAGCAAAAGCAAAGGAGATAAGAATTATTTCTTTATATAAATTGACTGTTGACATAACATATTCTGTAGTAAGAATTGAGATAAAAGAATTAGTTGTGTTAAGGATAAATTTTTCTTGAGTCAGAATTATTTACTGAAAGATTTAGCTTTCCAGTGTAGCAAATAGATTTGCCCTTTGGTTTTTTGGGACACTTGTTTACATTTTGAACATTTTTGGGAATGTAAGAAGATCTAACTTTCTTTTGTTATCTATAGGAAGAGTGTAGATTCAGTCTATATTCATCTGTATTTTTGTGAATATGTTTTTATTATCACACTACTAGCTCTTTTGAATTTGCTAAGAATGAATGTGTATTTCACTTTCATGTTTTTGTTACATAAAAACTTAAAAACTTTTTTAAAGTTAGGATCTCAATTTCTTAATAACGAACAAGCAAATACATTTTCAGTAAGTTATCATAGTCCATTTAAATAGCAAGGGTTCCTCCACCTTTGGTATTGAATGCAGGACTTCACACTTGCTAGGCAAACACTGTGCCACTGAGCTATAGACATAACGCATAGCCCACTCCCTTTAGAATTTTTTTTTTTTTTTTTAAATTTTGAGACAAAGCCTTACTAAATTGCTAAGTTATCCAGGCTAGGCTAGACCTTGCTATCCTGCTTCAGCATCCCCCAGTCCTAGAATAACTTGCTAAGCTTATTAGTTGTCCAGGCTGGCGTCAATTTTGTGATCCTTGTTTCAGCCTCCATGAATGCTAGTTACAGGCGTGTGCCACATGCTTGGCCTAGTATGTATTTGTTTCTTTACTCAGTATATATCCATGCATATGTATAATTTGATTGATGACTACTGTCCAAAGTGTGTGTTTTGTGTGTCTATTTTCATTTGTTTCATGTTAGAAATAGTATTAAACTTATCATTGCAATATTAAAATAATTTGGTATCTAGTTTTATTAAGAGGAACTGTTTGAATAGATTTTTGAG